TGATTGCAATTTATAGATTTGATTTGTGCTGTTTTGTCAGTTTGATTGGCATTCCGAATTGGCAACAACTCAAACGTTATGTTCTCTGTCGCTTTGAGTTGTTTGTTCTGTTTTTTGTATACGATGGCTATAATTCGATTTTGTTTTCGGTGCCAAGCACCCGAAAATTCATTTTCTGCTGTAATAATGCAGTACGAGTCAATTAAGACAATGACGTACAATAACCAAATACCCTTTGAATGAGTGAATGTGTGTAACTAAGTGAATTAATCAGATTAATTTAAAATTGATTTGCCTTTGGGTTTTGCAATTCGTGCGTGCTGTTAGCTACAATCTCAATTGCGATTAAGTTAATTGAAACCACACTTTTAATTTGTATCCATCGCTAACTGTTTACGTTTACTGCCAAAGGCCATGGCAGCTTTGGCAGCCATTCATGCGTTCATTTCGACGCCATTCATTAGCTAATTTATGAAGCACTCAGTCGATACGCCCCAATGATCCTACCAAGTGCACATGCTTTCAGTAATCCCGCCAATAATCCCACGAATATAATGTCACAAATATATATATAAACAAAATAGAACACTATTCACATATATAAATGAAATGGGCTTTTTTATATACGTGCTGAGAATATTATAATTTTGTGTTTTGAAGAAGACACTTTCCATTTCTCAAACAATGCATCTTATATTGAGAGAGCTATTACAAGTTTGTGTAGATAAGGCTGTTTTTTTTTTATGGAAAAGTATTTTTGGTCGGCGTTTAATGAACATAATTATTTATTCCATACATATTTTATTCATACAAATAAAATGTTCACGCATATTATATAATTTCTTATTCATAGTAAAAGGCAATTTATATTTATATTTTAGAATATTTTTATTGATATATAAACGCCTTCAGTTTGTAGAAATAGTTGCTATATATACGATAAATCTAAATTTAAGTGTTGCATAAGTTGCATAAGGAATTTAAAACACTTAAGGAATAACAAACACATTTAAAAAAAATTTTAATCAAATCACTTTATCATTTAACAATATGCAAGTGAATGTTTTTTAATAAATGTACATTTATTTTGATTATAGTTACTATAATTTCAATAAGGTTATTTTCTTTAAAAAAAAATTCTGAAATGCAAAGCAAACTGTTTTATCTTGTTGCTATAACTATTCCAAATGATACACATACTAAATTGCAAAACTTATTACTTTAAGCCCAACAATTTCAGAGTAGAAATCCTTTTAGCATTTTAGTTTTGGCCACAAAATATTTTCTTACGCCATATAGAAAAAATGCAGGCAATTCTAAAACTAAAATAAAAAGGACACAGCATTGAAACGCAATACGATACAGCAGGAAGGGGAAACTCGGCTAAAATATGTATATATATAAAATAAGAAATGTGCGCAAAAGTGAAAACAAATTTGCCCAAAGCGTTTTCACAGCCAATTTTTTATGCAAAGTCAAAGACAACGCTCCGCACATGAGTCTGTGTCAGTGTAATGGGTGTGCGAGTATGTGCATAGTGTGTGTGTGTGTGTGTGTTTGTTGAATGCGGTGTACGTTTACTTTTTTTTTTTTCTATTTTTCTGCAATTTTCTTGGGCATCGCACATAAATCCTTTTGTTGGTCGCAAGCGAAGTAGCCGCTCGACTTGCATCAGCACTTCTTACATTTACATACGTACACGTACATTTTGCCTGTGCACTCAAAGAAAATAGCTATACACAAGTCAGTTTTTTACTTAAGTGCAAAATATTCATCACAAGCATTTTTAAAATATGCGTTAAATTTCTGGATCTTTGTTAATTATCGTGCATTTGTAAAAACCAACTGATTAAGTTATCTTTAGTATGTCCTCAGTAAATTTCATTTAAAACTCCACATAATATATCTTAGCAATGAAAAAGAATATAGTTCTCATTTCGAAAATATTCTTGAATCGAATAAAGAAAAAACTATATTTTTTTTTCGAGTGTGCAAGTTGATATGTGTCTATGTATGCATATGCGCGCTACACATTTAGCACAATGAGCAGCAGTGTCTTACAACACATACACACCCACATTCATGCACACACACACACACACACACACACACACACACACACACACACACACACACACACACACACACACACGCATATGTTAAAACATGTAAATCCACACACTCTTAAGTGCTGTTGCAGACCTTAATATGCGTTTTGTAAGGAGAGCTTCTGCTTGGCATCCCAGTGGGACGCGCCTTAATGCAAGTGGCATGCAACTCAACTTGTCTTCATATCTTTCTGCTGTTGTTGTTGTTCCTGCTGTCAATTTCTACACATATTTACGCAAGTGAGAATACAATGACAACAAAGGGGAACCTGTAATGTGTTGCCGGGGCTGTGTGATGGGGATAGCTAGCTTTCGTGGCATTGAGTCGAAATCTCAATCTGTTTTTCAGTCGAGTGATTTTGCCTTGACTGCGACAACACACACTCAAACAATCACACACACATACACACTCGAACCTGGCCAGTTGGCCAATTGTGGCTGTTGTGGGTCATATTCCCTGGCTTGGCAGTTAAATTGGACTTTGGGTGCCATAATGGCAATATATAAGCCATTTAATCTTTTAAGGGTATGCAACATTTTAAAGTTTTTGTTTAATACCTCGTGCAACTTGACAGCTAAACATTTATTATATGCAAGAGAAATCTCCTTACCTTGTGGCTATTAAATATGTTGATAATATTCATGCCTTCATGTCACAATAAATCACTCTTTATTATTATGACTTTTAATGTTTCTTTTTAATGCCCAAAAGTATGTTTATCGTAGTTATTCACGGAATGCAATCATTGGTGAAAGCAAACGAAACTATTTTATTTTGGCTTCTTTTCTAACTTCTTAACATAACTTTGAGCTTAATTGAATGCATCTCCAATTGTATATTATATTAGTTTAAGTTTGAAAAAGCATCACGCAATTAAACTTGATCTACAAAGTTGAACATATTTGCAACTCACGTGAACTTTAACGGTAACATGAGTCTAGTGCGAATCAAAATTGTATTGCCACGTTTGTTAATTCTATTTATTATTATTATTATTATTATTAATATCTTTAAATACCCATTCCGAATTTAAAGTAAGCAAATTAACAAAATATGCCAATCAAGGTCATCACGTATTACTCACTTTGAATAATTAAATAATTCATTTATTGAAAATCAAATCACCCTTTCGATTGTGTGTCGGTTCATGTTAAGCAGCTATAAGCCAAGAGGTGCTTCAACCAATTAGTAAATGTTAAGGCGCATATTTTCAGATACTCGTTTCGGCCACGGTCATTAACTGTCCAAAAAGGCATTAGTTGGCCCAAACTATTTTGATGGCCAAAGGATTCCATGTATCGTCAAATGTCGTCATAATAAATCTAGAGTTCATAGGCGTGCCAATGCGTACAAACCTTTTCAGATTCAGATTATGCCAACGACACTGAAATAAGTTATTACCCTAAAAATAAAATTATGATTTTTTTTGGTTCTCTTTTGATAATGTAATGAGTTTATAGATTGACTCATTGCGTCATGCTCATAGAGTATTTAAATTGCGGCCATTACGCGACTTATGTCAAAGTGTTGACCTTTTGATTGAAATGACGCATAGCCAAATAATGCTGTATAATACACACATATTTTGAGATATTTTCATCTATATATAGACAGTTATTGATTCATAAATATATTGTGCGTGCAAAGCTTTCGCTTTCAAAATATTTAACACTGATTATATATTGATTTTTAGTCGGTAGGCTCGGTAAACTTGAATTAAAAAAGTTTCTTGGCGGCCACAAAGAGAGGAAACAAGAAAATCTGATTTCTTAGGGACGCCGAAGATTACATACCCTTTCCACAATGTAGTCCAGCTGTGAGCAGAATTTCCGAACTTCAATATTAATTAAAGTAAACGGTTTTTATTATTTTCTTTTTTATAGCATTGTTGATTAAGCAATGCAATGTATGCGTTTCGGAGTCTTCCTCATATTTCACTACAAAATTATAATATTCATCGCAAGTGTATAAGAATTCTGAATGTAATTTTCATAAGATAAAAAGGGAGTGGAAAAGAAGCAAGCTATGCATACAAATTAACAATGGAAATGCAATTTGTCATACTTTGCACTTTGACGTTTCATTTTCTTGCTGTGGCCAAATCCGACGAACCAAATGGAAAAGGTTAACTGACAAACTGTTGGCCAGTGAAAAATGCTGGAAGGTTGCAAAATGACAGCGCATGATATGAAAGAAAATCCAAAGAGAATTGGAGTTGGCTGCGAAACAATGCTGAACGTGCAACCGCATTGCGGCTTTTGAGACAAATTAATCAGTGTAAATAACTCAGTAACAGTTTAATTAAAAGAAGAAAAGCTGAAGAGTTGAAGTTGAGACTGAGACTGAAGGCGAAGCACAGACAAAACTCAATTATTTATATTGACAAACTTTGCCATCAGCAGAAAGTTTGCAAGTTTTTCAAAAGGTTTGCAGTTTAGAAAAAAAAAATAATATGAATGAAAACTGCACAAACTATACTAATACCAACTTGAAAAAATTGATTGCTTCTGTTGTTGCGTTGCAGGTGAATTGGTTTGTGAATTGTGATTTGTAAGCAAACAAGTTATGCCAAAGTTTTTGTTTGTGCGTCAATTACAAATTTTAAAGTTTACTTGCATGCAATTGCAAATGTAGCATTGCTATTAAATAAGAAATGTTTGCAGTAAAGCTTGAGTCACACTAAAGTACACATACAGAAAAGCTTCAGTAGAGAAATGTAGCTCTTATTCATACCAATATTAATTATAGTGCTTACCTCATTTCGAAATATATAAATATAATAAATTTTAATTACTCGCGGTCATACAAAACTTTATTGTTTTTCTCGCTGTGCAATGCACACAAACTCTTACGTGCTTGAGTCTATATCTCTCTTTCTCCCTCTGTTGCAGCATATTGGTGAGACAGAAAGAGAGAGAGAGAGAGAGAGAAAAGTAAATGCGGCTTATAGCGACACGTTTGTTGGACTACATACATAGGAAAAAGGTTGCCCCACCAGGGCTATCACTCAGTCGTGTAAGCAGTCGTGTTAACATTTTGCTGATGAATGCGAAGCTGACTCGCAGTGAGTGCCAAGGATTCGAAGGATGCCAGTGCAAGTGCAGTTCAATGTGAATCGTGTCTCATATTGCTGTTCGATAGTAAACAACAGCGGATAGTAGCAAAGTCAACAACACAGACACCAAGCAAAAGCAACTGAGGCACAACAGTTTCTCGCTGTTCTGAATGGAGACGACGTGTGGACGCCAAGGGGCACGGGACGCAATTGCAGATATTGGTCTATTTGTATTGGCGAGTGTTTGCCAACATCAGCTGCAACAACAACAGCAACAACAACAACATGGCCATAAGGCAACAGCAACGAACTAAATGTAATTCATGGTTACAAATACCCAACAACCTGCTGCTACTGGTAAGTATTTAAAAAATGTCAATGTATTTGTAAATTTGAGTCTATGTATATGTCTATGTAGGCGGTTGGGTTGGTTTCTCCCTTAAGCATTGCAAAGATAAATATTAATTTAATATGATTGCCTGCCATAGAACTGAGGTTTCTTTTCTTCGCATTGTTGCTATTTTTACATTTCAATTTATGCCTTTATAATTCCATTCAGAGTTCTTATTTAAAGGCACATGCCTTTTCTTGTCGTCAGTAAAAAATGTTCTATATTCAGTAAAACATGTTTCGCTGTGGAAAAATTTCAAATCGAAGAGTTAGATATTCACCTATATGAGTTTGTCTGCCAATTTTCACTCAAAAGAGTACATTTTCTAGAAATATAAGTTGTGTGTAGTTTTTTGACGAATGTTTAAATAGATATTTGTTATGTCACTGAAGCAAATCAGATAAAACATAAAGAAAAATTGGTTCTGCTCTTCTGCAATCTGAAAGGATTATCTAACATACATTTGCATAAGACCATTATACCCTTTTTACCCAATTTCAATGGGTTTATGGTATAAAAAATGAGTTCATTGAATTTCTAAATAGATCTTTGGATATGATTTATAAGCTGATCGGATAAGAACAAAAAATGTTTCATGCTCCTGTTTCCCCTCATTTTGCGAGTTTAGTTTTAAGTAGCTAAAAGGAAACTGCCATGAATTTAGAGTGACCTACGTCATCCAATCACACATTTCATATATGTCTATTTTGCTATGCTTTTTTATTTGTGTTTATGTTATTATTAAGTTTGATTCATACTTTAAGCATTCATCCATTAAACAGTATTTGTGTGCAATTATTCAAAGTTAATGTGTTGAAAATGTTGTTGGCAACATTTCCTGTTTATATTTCCGTTGCACGTTTCCTTGCTGATGAGGACACGCACATCCGGAACACAGTTACATTTACAGGCCTTTGGTTGCACTGGAACACAAACAAAGGGCTATTCACACACATATATTAACACAAACAGAGACAGCGAGAGATAGATAGTAGATTCGGGGAGAGAGGGGCAAATGGGAACTGACGTCTTTGGCTGGGCACGTGTGGCAGCTGCGTCTGCGTTGCACATTTGCAAGCAAAACAAATCGCAGCTAGCTGCTTGCAGCTTTGGCATGTTGCTATGTGTACCTAGACATTGATTATGTTGTAGCTGTCGAGTTTATACAACTGCGAGGCAGCTACATATATTTTTTGTGGCATTCCTATTACCATACAGTTACCGTTCCAATAAATCCGTTGCATGAATCTAAATGTCATCTGCTACTGTGCAAGTAGCAGCGAAAGCTGTGCCACTTTTATGAAGCACACGTGTTGGCTAGTTTCCTCAGAAAATTTACGCATACGCCCTTGGGGAAAACACTGTGCGAAATTTAATAAATTTACTTCGAAATAAGAACATCATTTTGTTATCTAGGATTTGCAACATTTCTCCAAGTGCATTCTCTGAGTGTACGTACATGTCAAAAAGTTGTGCCAGACACACAGCCAGCTCGTAAAAACCCCATTAAACAAACAGATGGACTTGGCACACGACTTCGGATCCTGTTAATAGTTCAAGCCATCACGTTGAGTCGTAAAGATGTGTTTATTAATTTAAATCAAGTATCAGGAATTTATGTTAACAGCAAAATATCAACTTGAATATCTTCTTGACTTAAGATTAAAGGATATTCCGTATTTAATTCGACTAGAATTTGGCATTCAAGTAAAATGCACTCGTGACATTCAGTGATCTGATGCCACTTAAATGGACAGAAACAGGACTCGCCACAAAAATAAACTGAAAGTCGAAACAAAATCTGCATATCAGGTGTTGTTGTTTTGTTGTTAGATTTACTTTTGTACTTTTTTTTGTATTTCCTAATTCGAGCGCAATTATCAGAATTAAATTAAAAGTTTTTGCGGCTTGCCAACACACAACTGCGTTAGCCCCAAATTATGGAGCCAAAATATTTTCGTATTTGTGTGTATTTTTGTTGCATGTCATTTTGAACCTCTGCTCAAAAAGTTGTTATAAATGTTTTACTTAATTGAGCCTGTTGCAAGTTGCGCTAATTAATGGCGAGTACAGTTTGTGGCTGCATAGTTGAGGGACTTTTGAGGTGAAAATCGTGTTACTCATGTTGTTCGCATTTAAAATGGTCACAGAAGTGAGTTTCTCTTATTGATGAACTGTAGTAATCCCATCATTATTGGTTAGGAAACAGAAAAATTCTTCAAAACTTCGTACTCTCAGATTGACTAAGCTGTTTTCTGTTTACGCCTCGGTTTCGGTTTCGGTTCCTTTTCTCTTCCATAAGTAAGATTAGCCAAATCCTTAAGGGCATGCGCTTGCTTTCTAATGAATCATTCATTAAGTGCTAACAACTTGTGTTTTTCTCTTATTTTTCCATGTAACTTTCTTCTCTTCTCTGCTGAGTTTCTTGTTATTAACAAATTTGCAACATTCCTGTGGCACTTGGCTGCAAATTACTTACTTTCAATTGTTTTGCAGCACGTCAGCATACATGTGTATACCAAATTAAAATGAAGAATAATACTAATTAAATTGGAGCACACCAAATTTCCTAAGTTAACAGAACAGTAGGCATGAACCGTTTTCTTGGGCATGCCACAGATTATGCACCCTGTAAGAAACCGAATGATTTTACCCAAGTGTCATGCCTTTTATCTGGATATTTTCGATAGTAAAAAAATAAATATTTTAAAGTTAAACTTGGCAGATCTGTTTGGTTCTAGCTGCGGTAAGCATCATTGTAAGGAGACAAGAAATATTAGAGCCAGACCTAAAATATGCATAACCATTACCCAAAGCATTTTCAATATTGGATGCCAACAATAAAATAATCTCAATTGCTGTGAAATGTTTTATGTTCACAATCTGTTTTACAACTTGCACTGTGCTTTTATTATACAACTTTTTATCTATCCCTTGACTGCTATAAAGATTATTGCCGTATTACAAGCTTTAACCTACCACCGAATGTTTTCAGCTGATTTACATAGTAGATATCCTTTTATTGAAATTTTATACGGCCCCTTTACGTCGAGCCTGTCTCAATTAAAACGTCATTTCAACACGCAGCCAGCTTTTTTATGCCTCCTGTAATTAAATTTAACACATTATGCACTGAAATTCATCGTTGCTCTACGCCATGCGGCATACGGCCATAAAGGCAGCATCATCGGCGTATGCGTGCTATGAATGAAAGCAAAATTGCGTATACGCAAAGGGTGTAAAAAGATTTTTGGTACTTATAGTCGCTGCTCGTTTTAAATGTCAATTATTTATTACGTTTCGCGAATTTTAACTCAAGTAACTCAATTTAAGCCATTTTTCATTATTAGCAGCCATAAAGCGTAACATTTACGCACGCAAAATGATATGACAAAAATTGCACTTGTTACAGGCAAATATTCAACTTTAATTTTCCACAACATTCTCGCTTGTAAGCTTGAACGGCATACCTCATTCCGTTGCAAATATTTGCCAGCCTTTTGTCACAAAGGCAGCAGCTCCTTTCGGCTTATACTCATAGTGACACATCCACATATACACACATGTACGTTTACATGTACGAGTACATGTACATGCATGTTGTCTGTCATGTGAGTAATTTCGCCCACACACACTCACTGAGTGCCACTGATTGCTTTTATTGTGAGGCCACAGCAACAGCCTCATTCCTTAGCACACATTTTATGCTGGTAACATTTCCAGTCAACGCCAACATCAAGTAACAAGTAGCCATTTTTGTTGTTAGCTGTTTTACGCAACATTTTTGCATTTATATTTTGCTTTTACATATTTGCATATTGTCTTTGTCAATTTGAGCTAAACTGCCTTATGGCTGCTATTTTCATAAAAACCAAACACCCGCACACACAAACCCATTACACATATTTCGCTTTCTTTCATTGGTTGCATTTTTAATGCATAGTTTTCAATTTAAATCAGATTTGCGGCACAGTTGTGTTACCAATTTACATAAGTCCTAATGGAAACATAAAGCCATTATAGCTTTTAAATAAAGTATAAGAGCATAAAACAAAACAATTAAGACTAGAAAAGCCATGACTAAATCGACTCGACTGTGTCGCCTGATCAAGGATGCTTGTTTCTGTATGTTACATACTTTTGCATCTCATTGTGCATTTTTCCCAAATTTGAATTGAGTATTAATCAACTAAATCTTAAGCTTAACTCTTATGAATCTTTTTCATTTGACAACTTATGTTTGTGACGACATTTTCCTCTTCTATAAATTTGAGTTATAAAGATATTGCAGTCATGACATGGATACAAAATTATATTGAATAGCTGCAAGCTCAATTGGTGAAAGGCATACCGATATCTATGAAGTTGTCAGCTTTAACAACTATATAATAATTTATATACTTAATTTGAACAACGTCAGCACTTTTCTTGATAATGGATTACAAATCGATACATGTGGGAAATTGCCTTCTGTCATACAACATTCACTAGCAATAAAGAAGTAATTACGGTCACCATTTCAAATGCAACTTCCCCACAATAAAACCAGTGAATATTAAATCTCTGCAATAATAACAATGAAAATTTGCAACTATTTTGGCCTGTTATGCGTTTTTCAATTGTAATCAAATCGTTTGAACAAACTCAACAATCGAGTCTGTTCAAAATTGAGGCGAACGTGACAATTACTCTGAAATATAAATAGCTACCAAAAACTCAAGACGAACTTAAGCCAAATATATTTAATCGATTAATTGCGTGCCTGGAATATTTCTTGGACCAACACCCCCTAGCAATTAAGTTTGCCCAGCCCAATAGGGGAAGTGTGCTCGCTATATTTGTTGCTTTCCATTAACCATTAGAGTCAAAAATAATATAACTTGGTGCCTGGCCGCAAATATTGATTAGTTGTCAAACAGAGTGCAAATATTGGCTGTGTCAATGTTTGATGAGCTTATTGCCCTCGCTATGGCAATCAAAATTTCCATTTGTTCATTCACAAATTCCATATGACGGATAGTGTTAAGAACATTCAATAAACATGGCTAAAGCGCTGGCAATTTATGTGCGCAATTAAATTGCAATATGCACGATAACTGAATGAACAAGTGGTTATGTAATACGCTCACTTACTCTCTCTCTCTCTCTCTCTCTCTCTCTCTCTCTATCTCTATCTGTCTCTCTTACACTTACACACTATTTACCTCTCTTTCCTGTTCGCCTGCAGTTATTATTTTGAACCTCAGCTGACCGGTATTGTGGTCTGTGTGGTTTATTTACACGTACACTTAGAAAAAATAAAAAACACAATAAAGTTTGTATCTTCTATTGTCTGGAAGTTTAAGTTTCTAACATTTACTTTTTTGAAGTTGAAGTACATATTGTTATTGAATTATTTTTAATTTTAAAATCGAACATTTATGCATAAAAGTCAAGTACAAATTACTTATTTTAAACCATATTTTCAGTTACGAATTACAAAACTTCAATTCTTAATTAAATCTGATTTCAATTTATTTCGAAAGATAACAGATTAAGAGTGCTCTAAGTATCTCATTCTGATTAATCAAATTCAAAGTAATTGAATTATTATTATAAAATTTCCCAAGTGGATTGTATTACATCTGCCAATTCCAGGCTTTAGGGTTGTTATCCAGGTTTTTGGCAGTCAAAGTTCATTTTTGTCCGCTGGGCATTCATTTAAGTTTTTCGAAAATTTTGCGGGAGGTTCTCTAACCACTTAAAAACTTGCTTGTATTTGCCATTACTTTTTAGCGCCCCCATCTACAATCCACAACCTAACCTGATTATACTTTTAGTCTGGTGTCTGCTTATTTTCATAAATTAATTAGGCATGCCGGGCACGCAGCTGCTGTGTGTCCCGAAGGAGTATAAGAAGAGAACAGTACTAATTATGCATTGAATGGGCATTTAGTAACGTTCGCTGTTTTCTTATTAACTTGGCTTGCAGGTGGTGAACATAAGTCTACACCCATCACAAAAGTACCGCCATGAATGAGACAGAGTGTGAGGATCTCATTAAATCTGTGAAATGGACGGAACCGGCGAATCTGATCTCATTGGCCATACTCGAGTTTATCAACGTGCTCGTCATTGGTGGCAACTGTCTCGTCATTGCCGCCGTCTTCTGTTCAAACAAATTACGTAGTGTTACCAATTTTTTCATCGTTAACCTGGCCGTTGCGGATTTACTAGTGGGCCTCGCGGTGCTACCCTTCTCAGCCACCTGGGAAGTGTTCAAGGTAAGTCAAAAACTTAAAATGTTGCTATCATATTTTCGAATAATACTCATTTTCCACTACTTAAATATTAAGTTTAAAAATATAATAGTCTGAAAATTCCTGTGATTATATATTTATTTCGGAGTGCTGGCGAAATAAATTATTTCTTGTTTTAAATTACATTTTGTTTGACACTTTTGGCCAGGTTTGGATATTTGGGGATGTCTGGTGCCGCATTTGGCTGGCCGTGGATGTGTGGATGTGCACGGCATCGATATTGAATCTATGTGCCATATCTCTGGATCGTTACGTGGCCGTCACGCGACCGGTTACCTACCCAAGTATTATGTCAACGAAGAAGGCCAAGTCTTTAATCGCCGGCATTTGGGTGCTTTCATTTGTTATTTGCTTCCCGCCCTTAGTGGGCTGGAAGGATCAAAAGGTAAGCATTTTCTCCACACATACACATACACCCACACCCACACCCACACATGCACACATACACATACTAGTGCTAGTTCATGACCCCATCCACAATTACAATAAACTAAAGTGAAAAACTGTTTGCACATGAACCAAATTGAAACCACGAAAACTGCTTTTGGCTTGCAACTAACCAACAGAGACGATTATAAAGGAAACCTCAGCTAGACATTTCGGTGACCCTTTCGAACAGCAAAGTTCTCAATAAGACTGTCATTGACACCGTTACAACTTAAAGTTTTGCCCAAAAAGCCGCAAACTCGAAATGTGGCAAGTGTGTGTCCTGCAAGGACTGCAATCTGGCTCATTTGTGACAAACATGACCGTAAAACATGTGGGCGGACTTTAGATGGAAATGTTTGATCAAGAAATACCCTGTAAGAAAAACTTTTTGATTACGAAGAAAATATAATATTTTTGTAAATTAAATGCGCAGAAAAAGCTGTTAAATAATGATGAAATTCCGTTTATATTTTGAGACTCTTATGGCATTTGGTGGCAAAGGCGTTAGTCTTAAAATAGGCTCGCAGTAAATCAATAAATTCAAGGACTTAATACTGAAAACTCATTGAAAAACATGGTTGGCTTAGCTTGAATTTATTTTTTAATAAATTCATGCTGCTGGTCATGAAAATGTTGTACCTATTTATTTTGTCAACAGGGTATAACAAGTGTCAGTTCAGTCTACGACATCATGTGGACTAGGCGTGTTGATGTCGTCCGTGTGAATATATTTTTGTGTTGTTTTCATTTTTGGCGCACATGCATAACAATTTTTATTTCATGGCAATGATAATGATGTGGCAGCCACACAGACAACAACCCTGAAACAGAAACAGAACCAGAACCAAAACCAGAACGAATGCTGACTACACCAGACAGCGTCGTATAATTCATGTTTGTGTCTGTGTCCTGGAATCAGGCCTGATAATCAGATCAGTTGCGATATGCCCACTAACTGGGCCAACGAATTACGACATTCTGTAACATTTTATTGCCCTCTGCCTTGGTTTCTCTTTGTGTTAGTGTGAGTGAGTATTTATGTCCTTTGTTTTTGTGTGTGCAATAGGCCTAAGATCGAGTTGGGATAAATTTACTGGCCATATTGTTTCAAGTTTTGTGGTTAACGGATACACTTGGATTACATACAAATATGTATCTTTTATACACTACTCGATTCAAATATTTAAGAAGACTGTTTCTAAATTAGTTAGGAAAAACTTGTTCTCAATTTGAAACAGTTGGGTTTTTAGAAAAAGTCCACGCATAAGTTTCAAGTATCTTTCATTCTTTAAATTTCAAGCAATCCGCTCGTACTTGTCCATTGGGCAAGCGTTTCTCTCTTTTACACATATATTTAGTGTTGCGTAAGCACATAAATCCCATTTTGCTTGAGAGAGCAACCCTGCTCTTTGTTTGGTGGCCTTAATTTTAGTGCCATCTACCCATCTACGAATTGCTACACTCAATCGGATTCGCCATTTGCCCTGCAGCATATACTCCAATAATTGCAGTGCATAAATGCATTGAAATTCCAATATCAATGCATCTATTGAGAGTGTCTTATGATGTTTGCAATTCAATTTGATTTCACTGGCAGCCTGACAATGGCCTTATGAGTTTAATTGGAACTCGATTTATGCCTTCTGGCATCGACTTTCTGCACGACGCTTAATATCTTTTGACATGACATCGTTCAATTTCAAGTCAGGTGTAGATTGCTTACCTTCTATACCAGCAGCTGCATATGACAGAGCTTATCATATCTCTCTCATAACCTCTCAAAATTCGCCCTTGGCATTCGTAAGAAGCCTTAAAATGATTGGGGCTGTTTTTACTAATACGCTACCCACTTCAACATTTAGGATACCCTAAGTTATATTCCTGACGACAGTTATCTTTAAATTAAATATGTGTTAAATATTAGTAGCACAACAGCTAATTACTAAAACTTTGTACACTGTTCAATGAATGACCTTTCAAAAAGAAAAAACAAAACAATCATAAAAATTGAATATTATTTTATTAAAATGTATCTTTCATTTCAATATGCCATATGAACCAACTAGATAATTTATTTTGGTACATGAAATATATACGAAAAATGATGTAATAATGGGTATTTATTAGTCGAGTATAGCACTTTCACTAAACTGTGTCCCGTTCTGGTAGTCTAAATGTCTGCTACATCTTGGCAAAATATTTATGCAAGACGCGTCGCTGAATATCTTTTTCAAAATGAACCGCTTAAAGTTGTATTTTTATTGGCTTATTGTGAGCAATGTGCAAGTCCAAAATGTTCGTGGGAGTGCGTTTCTAGAATTTCAATGCGTTAACCGTATGACAAAGCATTTAATACAACCCGTCAAAAGTTATCTAAATACACTTGGCAAAAAATCCACTTTGAATGCGAATACATCCTTGATTCAAGTACAAGCTGTAAAAAGGCGAAGAGAGTGGATAAACACCTAAAGCTGAGAATATAAATTTAGCTTGAATTGTTTTTTTAACAGTGTACACTAATATATGTAATTTTTTGTTTTGTTTTGTAGGCCATGGTACAGCCGACCTACACACGGGGAAACTATACGCTTTACTATGCTACCACAATGTCAAGCACACAGGATGAGCAACTAGATGTAGATAAGATTAAGGATAATCAGGAGGAGGCGTTAATAACTGAATGGAATGGGAATCGCAAAGGGAATGGCAATCGCAATGGCAGTGGGAATGGCAATGGGAATGGGAATGCCTATAATCCATATGATCCGAATTTTGCGCCAATTGATGGCTCCGCGGAGATACATATTGCAGCCATGACATCAACAACAACCAGCACTATGTCCCCGAGCATAGATAAGGATTACGATCTGTTGAATGCACCAGTGCAGATTGTTGCACAACAGCCGGTTGCAGCCACCAGCTGTCCCTGGAAGTGTGAACTCACCAATGATCGGGGCTATGTGCTCTATTCGGCTTTGGGTTCCTTCTATATCCCCATGTTCGTGATGCTTTTCTTCTATTGGCGCATCTATCGAGCAGCTGTGCGCACCACACGCGCCATCAATCAGGGCTTCAAGACCACTAAGGGTGAGTAGTGAAAATACATATATATACATTTATCCATCATATAGTAGTGTGAACATGTATTGAAGATCGGTAGCAAAAACTCCATCAAATACATTTGGACACATTTTTTAATCTCTCATTCACAATTTAAATTGTATGGCAACTTGTGCGTAGCTAAAAGTTTTGTCCCTTTAACATTTTCTAATATTAATAATTCTCATTCAATTTGAACAGTAAGTTATGTAAACCACGTAGCGTATGTAGTTCGTTTGTTCAAAGTACATACATACATACATAATTTTATCCAATACATTTTCATCTCGACTGCTAATAAAATTTTAAAAAATTCTAAACGTGTAGATTTAGTTGTGTGACGTCTTTGCCCCCGTTTTTTGGTTTAACAAAAGAATAAACAAAAAACACACACCACAATAAAAACTATAATAAAGAGAGTGTATAAATCAACACACGCACGAACACATACACATTATATATATAATATGTAATCAGTGCCATTGTCAATAACAAACACATTGAAGAGAATAAGTTAAGATGTCTGTTTCGGATTCGATTTGACATATTTTTTGTCATTATAATTATATTATAACTACTCTAAAAACATTAAAAGAAAGTAAAAAAAATAAAGGTAAAAAAATCGATTTCACGCAACAAATTCTATTCAGATATTTTTTACTTGCTTCTAGTAATTCAAGATCATGAATAAGATCATATTTGGCATAAATTGTTGAATCAAGTATAAATACTTGAATCTAGGTAACTAGATCTTACTTCTAGTACAATAAACATTTTATGTGAGTCTTTAAAGCTTTGATGTTAAGAATTTGAATTCGAAACAGATATATAAATGAACATACATCAAAGTACTATATAAGATATGCTTTTCTATTTATGTACATTCATGTTCCGTGCCAACTCAATTATCAGTCCACCAGAAAAAAAGAAAATTAAAAATAAAATAATAATAATTAAAAATGTCAATAATCGGATGTTACATTTATAAATACCAAAACACATTTCTTGTCAGCCTTTTGTTTTTGTGTTCTGCACTTAAAATATCATAAAAATCAGTAATTAAACGATATTAATAACATAAATAAACAAGTAAATATTTATAAATAGATCCCTAAGTGAAAATTCCATTGTTAATAAATAACAAATTATAAATTTAAATAATTATGTCGACAGCCACTTAACAAATTCAGAAATTATCAATTTGTATAAATCAAACTATGACACTTAATCCTTGTAACTAAAATCCTTACATTAATTATTATATTGATTATGTACCATCTAAAGATAATGTGCATAATTGTAGCTTATAGTCTTAGTATATTCTTAGTTTAGTTAATCAATGTCAGTAAGACCTTATATATATTGGGCCTTAAATTTAAAATTGCCAAGAATACTTCCCTAAGCAATTGAACTTATCTTAATTCCTTAAGCCTAAACATCTCCCTTACAATCGTTATAATTAAATACCTTAAGATAAAAAAAAAACCTATACCGAATATTAAATTTTTACATAGGCTAAGACTTCTTTTTATTGTGATAAACCTGCTAAACAGTATCTTATTATTTTCTTTTGAAAATTATCATATATGAAAGCTTGCGATCTCAACAATAATTGGCATAATTTTTCGTCCAAGAACACATAAAAGAGCACATCAAACAAAACCGCTTACTCAAACGGCAGCGTAAATGAAATGAGAAAAACTTCAGCCATTAAGGCTGGAAAAATATAGAAATTCACAGAGAAATAAATGTGGAGCCTGATGTGCAATATGTGTTTATTTTTATTATTTTTTCTTCGATTTTCGTTTTGCTTTGAAGGATTTTATTTTGAATTGCTACCAAACTCTACTACACAGAGAAAAAAAATGCAGTATTGTATAAAAACTGTGAGTCTTTCTTCAATGAAAAAAGTCAGCAAACTTAATTATACTTTTATATATACGAAACCAATCTAAGAGTATATTCTGTGCTTCCGATTCTCTGAAGGCGATTAACAATTAACAATTAACTTGTGGAAAAGTATGTAACAGGCAGTAGCAAGCATCTTCGACGTTAGGGTATCTCCTAGTCGAACTGTCACAACGAGGGCACTCTTGCTTGAATATATATTCTTTTTTTAGGTTGCCAGCTTGTATATGTTTTTATTCTGGAATGTGTTCTTTTTATATGGGGCAATATTTTTCCAATGTTTGTTGCGCACTTTCTTCCAGCTGATCAGCTCATTGAGCACAGTTGCTAGTTAGGTTTTTAATCTCTTCGACGACCATCGAGGAAGCCAATCCTATGTGGAAAACTGTTTCTAAGCCAAGCGCACGCATTTCCTTTAATCTCTTCTACCCAGCTGCCAGGCAAACTGACTGGCTGACTAACTGGTTACATAATAAAAATCAATATGGCAATTTTCGTGCGCACTGCTTTGAAAGTCAACGCCCTTTGCTAATTGTGGGGCCAGAAAACCAGCTAGAAGACTTCCGTCTCCTGTGCCCCAACACAGACATTTTCACAGTCCCAAAAATAAAAGACCAGTCAAAAGTGGATGCAATTTACTGGAAACCCTAATGACAGTTTAATATCGACACTAAAACATACAATTTACATTTCCGTCTGGCAATAAAACTTTGGGGTAATTTTAGGGCGCCAGCTCAGTTGAAACGAAAAGAAATTAGAAATAATAGATATTACTTTTGCGTAGCAAAAAGAGTGTATCAAATGATGTAATCGACTTGTGTTTGCCTTGTTCTATTACAAATAAAATGCTTATAGTATGCTTTGCAAATTGCTAAAGATTTCCTTCGCCTGTCGTTTTTATTTGTACCGCCAACTTGTTTATTAAGCAATATTATGTTGAGACTGTTGTAAACTTAAGATTTTCTACTTACGCAGTATTTTCAAACCCAACATATAGCTTAAATAATGAATAAATTCTAACTGGGTTGCGTAATATGATAAAGGCAGCTCACAAAACACATTTAATTTCATTGGTTTATTTCCTACCAGCTGAATTGATTGACGTTATTCGAAATGTCATTAGTATTGAAGGCGTGTCACTGAAATCTACCTAATTATGACCTCAATATAATAGCATTTTTCTATGATGACATCGAGTTGTTTTCCTTTTAGTTGCTTAGACCTTGTTTTTGGTTTTTTTCCTGTTGTTCTTGTTGTGTGTTGTGTTTTGAAGTTGGCGTGTCCTTTAGTGACGCTATTTTGAAGACAAAGCCCAGATTTTCAGAAACTGCCGCTCATGCGACAGCCTTGAAATATACACTCTCGCATACACACACATCCTCCATACGCACACAAACACTTAAGCACACATGCAGACAGAGTGGCGCTGAGCTTGTTATAGTTTTTATACCCAGCACCTATTCAAGATGGGTAGAGAGTTGTCTATGTGACAGAGGACAGGCAGAGGACAGCATCTCTGACCCCATACATTCTGGATCAGTATCAACAGCCGTGTCGATCCAGCAAATGTTTATCTACCTGTCCATGCGACTTATTTTAACGATTACCTCTCTTCTTTCACTATTCGCACAATGAAAGAGACAATTTTTGAAAACTATAGCTTCCCGTTTATGAATAGTAGAATAAGAATATTGAACAAACAACGACAATATACGAGTTCGATTTATGAGAGGAAAGGACTTTGATACATGGTATCTTCTAGTCAAGCTCTCTCAGCGAGTATTATTAGTATTTTTTTCCTTTCCTTTTGTATACGGGTCTCTTGCCGTGCGTGTCTTCATTTCATGCTCGTTGTTTTTTGTACACAACACGAAGCGCAAAAGTCTACAAAACATCTCGTGACACAATGCGGGGGCGTTTATTGTTGTTTTTGGTGGCATTCAGTTATGTGGCCCACTTTCGCCCTGCAGTGACTTTTGAAGGTAATCAAGTTTCAAGTTCAAAAACTAGCTGAGGTTCATGGCGTCGTCTATTAAAATGTACGCAACAAGCAGAAGCAGCGAGGCACTTGTGCTGGGCTGTTATTGTTATTGTTGTTGCGCCAGTTGCACACACGAGCTGTGAGGGTTTTCAATTTGAAAAGGCGTAGTTCTGGCCTAGTCCTGGCCCTCTCCTGGCCTCTGTGTCAACAACAGGCGTGTCAAATTTCACGCCAGCCTGTCTTAGATTTCACCTTGACTTTCACTCGCATCAGTTTCACGCATCAGTTTTACCCAAAGTCCCAGTACAGCGTTCAAAGGTCACACCATGTATACAAAAACTACACAATTTTGTATAATTAAACATTTAATAACACAGGAAAGAACAGTTTAAAACTTTGACGCCCAGAACTTGAGCTACACTTAAGGAACAGAGCTTACCTGCTCAAATATAAATGCATTTGTTTATTTAACAAACTGCTTTTATGGGAGCTTTATGATTTTGTGATTTTTCCCTCTAAATGTTAGAAATAGATTATCACTCGTAAGTGATGAGATAGAAGTTATCTTGGTAGACAAAATAGTATTCATACTACAAGTCATTATTCGGAGAATCCTTTAAAACTCACAGAGTAAACTATGTATTAATTGGAAGGATATGTTCTTACTAATGTATTTTATTGGTATCAGAAACCGATTTGCATCGATATTTGCGAAACGAGAAGATATTGATAAAATTAAATAAAGTTGATCAGCATATGGTTGAACTTATATTCCACATTTAATGTCTCTAGCTCTTATAGTTTCGAAGATGGGCTTGTTCGACAACGGCAATGGCTACGTCAACTTGGTTAGGCTGGTTAAGCTTCTATCTTTCCATTACGTACTTTTCCACAACTTTGTTATATCGTTATTTTATTGGGCTCATGGTAGTATATCAAAAATGTATAATATGAATAAAACAATGGGTAAATAATTAATTCTAATTGCATTAAAATGTCAAGCAAAGTAAACAGAACCGCAAAGAATTTCAAAAGCAATTACATTACAAATTTCCCACTTAAATGGTATTTTGCATAAATATGTAAATACATTATTTTTGCATACATTTTGTTTGTATTAAAATTTCTCTTGCTTTGCTGCATAACGGCAAAATTTTCATATGCGGGACATTTGCGGAAAAATCGTGTTTTCCTTTATTTGTTTGTTTTGTGAGAAAAGCCCACGCTTTTTCCTTTATACGAACACTCCCACTCAAATGCATGGGGCTATACAGAAAGGCTTCCGCGTCAAAAAATAAATAAAAAATAGTTTTCATGTGCACATTAATGCGAATATTTACCGTACTTCTTCTTCTTTTTATTCCCTTTCGAAATCATTTAACATTTTTTTATAAGCTTTAAAAATGGATTTTCGTCTCCTTTTGTGCGAATGTAATATATATTAAAAGCATGCTCTCTGCATTCTTGTATACATATGGAGGGGTATCGATATCCTTTAAAAATTGTCAAAAAGAGTCTTATGAAGTTGCGCAAATGCCTAAGAAAGTCAATTTCACCTGATGAGGTACAAATATTCCTGAACAGCATCAAAAGCCAAGGCAATCTAGCCATATCAGTACTTTAAATTTTTTCTTTAAATTTCATATATGATTATTATAGCACTAATATATCATATATAATATATGCATATGCATACGGGGTGTCTGAAAGTATGGCGCTCTCGCCTAAGGCACACTTTTTTTCTGTTATGCTATATTTGTTTTTATGCAAATTGACTTTTTTTTGCATATTCGTATCATTTTTTTGCCATTTATTTCAGTTTCGTTTGTCAATGGATATGCTCATATCATTTTATCAATACTGAATATTCGAAGGAATTGAAATCAGCATTGTGTGTGGGCAAGGAATAATATCTGATATATAAAAGTAATGATTTATATGGCTTTGACTCTATTCAGCATTTGTTTCGTTAATATCTTGAAATTATTGCAATCCAAATGTCGTCTGCAATCATCGACTTATATTTTATTATTATTAAATCGAGTGACTTGTTCCACTTTGTTGTAATTGTTAATAAGTTTCCCAAAATGAATTAACTACATTATCGGATTTTTTAGATAAATATGTCCTATTGTTTGTAATTATATAATCAATGCCCAACAGACCATGAAAACTCAACTTAACATAGAGCCAATGGACCCACATAATTTGTGTTCGTGCATCACAGACATAGAAACCGAATTAAGCAATGATAAAAAGTGTCTTTGTCCCAAATAAACAACAAATATTTCACAATTTAAGCACGTCCAAGCAAATGCGAATTAATTAACCCGATAAATGAAGAACCTTTTTGGCGCAAATGAATAAACTTTAATCAAAATTATAATAATAATAATAATAATTTGTAAATATATATCATTAATGGAATACTAATTACAGATACACCCAGAAATTTTTATAGAGTTGTTTATACGGGCATGTTTTTACTATATTTCGTATTAATTTCACTTTTTTAACTCTTTTAAAAATATTCCAATGTATTCTAAAATTATATTTTGTTTTTATAGCATGCCCCAAAAATAATATTAATATTAAAAAAGTATATCTTTGATATGTCAATATTATATGATATTCAGAATCAGACTAATTAGGTACGTTTTTTTCCTATATTATTATAAAATACTTGCGTGCGGCTTTCCTTAACCTAATATTCTAGTATAATAGCTGAAGATATTTTAATAAATATAGTCCTACAATTTAAAAAAAAATATATCTATATGTAAATGTTTGTAGTTAGTTTTATCCTCGCTCAATGTTAATGTGGCCCACACAAATAATGTTTGTATCTAATCAAAACTCCAAACAAATAACCAAAACTAAATACCAAAGTAAAAATCACCAACACACTCAAATTCATGTATAACACAAGCTAATTGTTCTACACGCAGAAAAAAACAAATGGATTATAAAATCTAAATTGTAAAAAGAAAATCTTTAATTAAGATCTACAATGTCAAATCAAGAATATCGTTCCAAAAATTTAAAGAGTTAAGATGACAAAAAACTTGATTTAAAGTTTTTCATTGTTAACTGAAGGTTTTTGTTCCATTTGTTTTTTTCGTCTGTGCAGAAATATCGTTTCTAATCTGAACAAAAACTCACATTAATCAAAAGTAAATACAAAAAAATAAATAAATAAAAAAATCACCCACACACACATACACACCCAAATTGATGTATAATACAAACTGAATGTTCAAGAACACCCTGTGTACATTTTGTGTAATGAGTTGCATTTTCGACAACCCGCAAACTTTCCACACACTCGACTTATTGCAGGCAGCCCGCGAGAATCGGGTGGCAACAATCGCGACGATGATTCCCAGCTTATATTACGCATCCATCGTGGTCGTCCATGTGGGACACCGCAGCGCACACCACTCTCCGTGCACTCCATGTCGTCGACGCTGAGCGTGAACAGCAACGGAGCCACACATGGCACTGGCAATGAGGATCTGCAGAGCGTCTCCCAGCTGGGCACACCCAAGCGAGCGACTTCAATGCGCGTTCAGCGTCAGCGGCACGAAAAGATTGCCATCAAAGTCTCATTTCCTTCCTCGGAAAACGTATTGGAGTCGCCTCGCCTGGGTGGCACACAGCAACAGCAGCAGCAACAGCAGCAGCAACAGCAGCCACCTTTATCGCCCCACTACGCCGTCATCAGCAGCAAAGGAGGTTCGGGGAGTCTCTCCAATGGACGACGTGCATCCTTCAAGAGCAGCCTCTTCGACATTGGCGAAACCACATTCAACCTGGACAACGCGAGCCGAACAGCTGTCGATCTAGAAAGGGGAAACTCATCGTCTGCGAAAAAGCGTGCCGGGAAACGGAGCGCCAAAATTCAAGTGAAACGCTTTCGCATGGAAACAAAAGCGGCCAAAACGTTGGCCATCATTGTGGGTGGATTCATAGTTTGTTGGCTGCCCTTCTTCACAATGTATCTGATAAGGGCGTTCTGTGAGAATTGCATACAGCCAACGGTTTTCTCAGTGCTCTTTTGGCTTGGCTATTGCAATTCGGCAATCAATCCGGTGATCTATGCCCTCTTCTCTCACGAATTTCGTATTGCGTTCAAGCGAATCGTTTGCCGTTGTGTTTGCACACGCAGCGGCTTTCGTGCATCCGAGAATTTCCAGATGATTGCCGCACGTGCACTGATGGCACCTGCCACATTCCACAAGACCATATCGGGCTGCTCAGACGATGGCGATGGCGTTGATTTCAGCTGACTAATTGGCAGCTATGAGACGACGGAGGGTTCGCTACAGCGCACATCATCGCTGCCTCATGATGAGGCAGTTGAAGGATGCAGCGATGTCGATACCAGGGGCAGCACTAAACGCATACGGCGTGGTGGTTTCTGCAAAGGGCGAGTCCTCTAAGCATCCACAGCCGCAGCTAGTACAATTGAGAAAAAAAAAAATATGCATTAGAATTAAAAAACAAAAACTAAACTTGAAATCCCAAAAATAATTGAAATTATTTGTGAGGAATCATTTTTTATGGTTTACAAAATTCATTTCTGATATTTGACAATCTTAATTTTCTGCATTTTATGTCATATGTTTTCTTTCAGTGTACTTACAATATTTGACACATTGGGCAATGTATTTCAGTTTTGTACTTTTGTAAACCAGCCAACCAGTCATTCCCATTCGACATTGACAGTATTCGCATTGAACGACGTTGTAACTTAATGGCAATAATTTTCGTGTATTTAAACTAGACTAAGAACATACATATATCTTGATATATACACATCTTTAATAAATAAGCTTAAGTATTGTTAAAGAACTTAAATGACGATGATACACTTAGCCCTAAGACTTATATTAACTAGTACTTATTATAAGCATACCCTTATCGTTCCATTTTGTTGTTAACAGAATGCTTCAGTTCAGTTATATATAGTTACATATGTGTATATGTCTGAGTTATATATAGTACTTAATACATATATCTATATGTATGTATGTAAATCAGCCAATAACATAACAGCATTTTCAATAAAATGAAAGCAAACAACAACAACAAAAATAAATAAAAAAAATACAACTCCGAACAAAATTAAAGGTAATTTATAATAAAAACAATTGCTATACACAACTACAAAGCATTTCAACACACACTGAGCGAGACAAAGGTAATAACAACAATCCGGTCAAAAATACACTCACACACACATCACAAAACTTAAACAACATTAATTCGAGCTTAACCAAACGGAGGGAATAAATGTGTTCTTACTGAAAGTAATTATGCTCTACCTAAAGTTGGGTCGTTTAAATTGTGGATGACTTGTGAAACTTTGTATTGAAGTACCAAATGCAAAACAACAATAAAAAAGTAGTTATCTAATTAGAGATATAGATAGACGATTAGAGTATTGATTTTTCAACTGTTGACTTTTTAACTTAAGAAAAGTTTGTTTAATAACTTACGCTCTCTTTACGTTTGTCTGTACTGAGCACATTTGAGCTAATATTTTTTCTGGTTTTATTAGTGCCCTATGTTAATGTTTGGGGAAGAACTCAGCTTAAGTTTATATAAACTGTCTTGAAGATATGTACATGATGTAAACTTGAAAACAAAAAATTATATACGAACATTGGAGTGACGAAAACTATTTGAAAAGCTCTCATTGAAAAACATCAAACAAATTATAGAAAAAAATGTCATCAGGCTCAAGATAAATTTATTTCGAGCTACAGGAAATTCTTTGATTTTCTTAAAGACTAATTTTGATCGCCGCAACATGTCGAGAATTCTCATTAGTGTTCAATGCTTTTTGGACACCCTTGCTCCAGCAGCAATTACTTTGAACGCAATTCAACTGTACTAAACTATTTCATGAACACAACAACATCAAACAGTCAAAAGCAGACAACATATTTGAGATATATATTGAAGTGCTTCCTGGTCGATGTCCTTACAAGCGGAAAACGTTTAACTATAGGTTAGGGCAACGGCTCGTTGTGACAAAGACAGCAACATAAATATTTGAACAGTAAGAGGCAGCAGCAGCAGCAGCAGCAGCAACAGCAGCAACATCAGCAGCAGCAGCAAGAACAAACTAAATGACATGGTATTATTGTGCTGATTATTCATTACACTCACGCGGCTCTGTAATGAAAATTTATACAGCTGTTAAACGTGCGTATGAGTAATAAATGCAAAGCGAGCGAGCCAAAGCTGTTTACGTCTGTGTGCGTAAGTCTGTCTGAGTGTGTGTGTGTGTGTGTGTGAAATTATGCAAATGTATGCTTATTAATGAAATAAAGTTCGCTTTGATGGCGGCTTAAGCGCTACTAAGACAAGCGCAACAAGGATGATATTGTTGCCACGGCTAGACGGTGAAGGGGTATTCATGACAAGGGGCAAGGTGGTAGGGAAGAAGGGAAGAAGAGACGCTTTGAGCATTGAGTGCTTGTCGCGCTTATGCCAAGATACATTTGCATAATTACGCGTTTAATTTGCTAAAGTGCAGCCTGGCATCAGGCCAAGTTGGCAATGGCAACAGCCATTCAACAGCGTAGGCATTAAGTTTTATGTGTTACAGGATGTATTAGCGATATTCAATAAGGAATGGACAAACAGCCAAACAGCAGTTTGCACTAGAGCAAAAATTACATCCTTTTCTATCAAATCAAGTAGAAACTTTGTGCAAATTCAGCAAAATTTCAAGACTGAGAAACAATATTATTATTGTTGTCATCTTGAAGAAGTTTCTTCTTTCGTATATCACGTACACTTATTTTTTTAATCGTGAATGAATATATTTACTAATACTTAAGTAATTTAATCAATCCTAATATCAGCTAAAAATAAAACCAAATCAGATTGAAATAAAACCTAGAGCTCTTGTATAAATTGTTTCATGATTACAACATTTTTGAGGTTTTTAACTATCAATTTTAAAAACAAGAATAATGCAGAACATCCTGGACAAATTGGAAAACAAATCGATATAAATTTACTGCCATTTCTGCTTGAATTTAGAGAAACGTTTTTCTCTAAGTGTTGGTAGTAAATAGTATGCGAGCTGTGAAAAGGGGCGGATAAGCAATATTCAATAAGAGACAGGAAACAGTATGTTAAATTGTCTGTGCGAACTAATGTTTCATTCTACTCTCAATCTCTCCCTCTCTCTTTCTTTTTCTCTGTTTGGCATTTTGATAGGCTCCAAGGGCATTGGCTCACGTTTCGAGGAGCAACGCTTAACGCTTCGCATTCATCGCGGACGCGGTTCCAATCAACAGGATTCGATGCACAGCAATGGGAGCACTCAGAGCACAACAACAACACTGGGCACACCGTCGCCGGAGAGGCTGAGTAAATACGCGACGAGGCGGCTACATCATCAGCACGACAAGATCAAGATCTCCGTCTCGTATCCATCCAGCGAAAACATCAACGAGTTAACGCAATCGGATGAGAGACGCCCATCGAACAATGCCCTGTTTTCCGTGCACTATAACGGATCGCATGGGCGCGAGGCAACCGAGTCGCAGCTTTACAGGCAGCAGCAGCATCATGGCGGTAGCACCTGTTATCTGCAGGTGAGCAAGGCACTCCCGGATCTGGCGCGTAGGCAAAGCAACACCAGCGATGGCGGTGGCATTGTGGGTCATCCTCGCACAGCCAACAAAAAGATGGGCAGACGGAATATCAAGGCACAAGTGAAACGCTTTCGCATGGAGACAAAGGCGGCCAAGACGCTGGCTATTATCGTTGGCATGTTCATCTTCTGCTGGTGCCCGTTCTTCACGATGTACATCATACGACCATTCTGTCAGGATTGCGTGGATCCGTTGCTATTCTCGGTGCTCTTCTGGCTAGGCTACTGCAACTCGGCGGTGAATCCCATGATTTATGCTCTCTTCTCTAAGGACTTTCGTTTCGCCTTCAAGCGCATAATCTGCCGTTGCTTCTGCTCCAGGCAGAGCGTATCCCTAAAGAGTTCCCGCCGCGGATCCGACATGTCCGCCATAAGGATACAGGGCAGAACGCCCAGCATTACACCCAGTGCAGCGGCGCATAGTTTTGGGGATGAGAGTGAACTGCATCATTCACACTCGGATCTGGGGAATGAGGCGATGAGCAGATGACGTTCGTTTGGGCCCAGCTCGAGCTCGCAGAGCAGCTTGGGCGGGTTGCGCAAGACAAGCCTCAAGGTGCCCGTTTACGAGATATGCCATCCTCTGGTCATGGAAACACCCTCCTACTCCTATGTTGAGGCACCGGGCGATGCACCCAGCTCTGCCGGCAATGGGGCAGCCAAGAGGACACAATTGTAGCCGCGGGAGCTGCTGGCGCTGCGCAGCCTGGCAGCCACAGAGACTAGCTCTAATACCCTTCGAGGGCAAAGGCCGAGACGCACGGTGCGCATAGAATATAGTGATGCTAGGGTCTAAGAGCGCCATTGAGCCAAGTTAAGAACAGTGCTGAACGACAACGGGGGACAACTTCGAGTTAAATGTTAATAAACATTCAAAATATTCGTTACAAATGTTATTTGGTAAAACCAACCTTTTTTCTTTGTTTTTGAGTTTTTCTTCTATTCTGAAACTCTATGAAACAAAAATATGACCTAGATTTTTTAATATCATAATATAATTCATAGAAATACTTTATAATTTTGTCAAGCATATAAAAATTGTTAACTTTTCTAAAGCATCTCTTCTAAAATGCAGTAAAATATTTTTCTGAATGGGAAAATTATAATTTTCAATGGAGAATTAAAAAAAAAAGAAAATTTGTATTTCTGTTTGTAAGAAAACAATTTTTTACACTTAAAGATTTTCCAAATTCTAGGGCATATACTGTTTTTCAGAGTGTAAGAATGCGCTAAATATATGCATGTAATCCAATGTACATAATACAGCAATAAGAATCTCGTATTGTTCTATTTTGTTTATAAAGAGATATTTAAAATAAAAGATGTATACATTTATTTTAAGTAGGTAGCCAAAAAAAAAAAAAAGAAGACACCAGGACAAAACAGTATATTCAAGTAATTAAATGTATGTCTATTTAATATCAAATATATGCACAATATATATAGAGGTATGTATATGCATATTTGAGCAGGCCAAATTTCGGTATTATCGCTAAAAACCAAAATGAGAGAGTTGTACCTTTTAAATTCCCCAAAAACAAAATATTCGTATGCAAATGTTATAGCAGAAAAATATTACAGAAACCGAAACGAAATTGTTGTAACTTTAAAAATAAATATTAAAATACATAATGAATTAATTATTTGATTGTTAACTGTTGTGAATACGGAAGATTCTGACTTTCTTTCACATATATATGTATGATATAAATTAATGTGACATAAATGTACATATATACAAAACGATATTATAAGTACAATTCTAGTTAAATGTTCTATGTGCTATAAATAAATTCAAACTTAATTTATTGAAATTACTGTTTTTTATACTTGCATTTTAAGTATTATTTTAAAAAAGAATCTTGAGTGGTGGGTCGTGGCTTGTTTTTATTTTTTTTTCGACTTTCTGTGTCAGCTTATTAGAAACTGTACTAAAATGAATTTT